AGAGTAGGACCTAGTGCCTACCGTTTTGTCTTGCCTCCGAACTTGGCCAACATCCACGACGTGTTTCACGTGTCTCAGCTACGAAAGTATGTAGCGGATCCTTCGCACGTGGTTCAACCGGATGATGTGGAGGTTCGGGAGAACTTGAAAACTCTCATCGGACCACTCCGAATTCTCGATCGAGGTGAGAAGCAGCTGAGGAGCAAGATCATTCTGATGGTCAAAGTGCAATGGTCAGGAAGAACTCCTGAGGAGTGTACCTGGGAGCGAGAAAACGAGCTTCTCCGACAGCATCCCGATTTTCGAGACATGTATATTCTGATTTTGAGGACAAAATCCTAAAAAGATGGGGTGAATGTAAGAACTCGCACCGTTAATTAAGGAAATTAATCAGTTAATTATGAGTTTAATGAGATAATTCCATAATTGACTCTAAAAATTATAGTAAGTGAGTAATAATGCTGGAAGTCGCTTTTCTGACGAAAAGTGCAGATACCGGTTCTGCTAGTCGGTATAAATGCGTACCGAAAAAGTATCCCAAAAAATTATAATAAGTGCATGATAATTCCTAGAATAATATATAGGACTTGTAAAACGAGTTTCAAGTTAAAATAATGAGAACTGGTTCCAGAAACTGGTAGTGGCTATAAAAAGCGCGTACCGGAAAGGTGCTCCGAAAAATATAAGAAAAATATAATAATTCTTGTAAAATTGAGTAGGTTAAGAATCCTGAATTTGGGATTAAAATACTAAGCGTAGCAGTTAAATTTAATACTGTGTGTTAGTGACTTAAACCGCCTATATATAGTGCTTGGCACTAAAACCTAGGATGATACTCAGCCATTTGGACGTGAGTGGCTGCTGGTGGCTACTGCTCTTTGCATTCTCCACCATTTCCTGACCTTCCTTGTAGCTTTTCTTCACTTTTCCTTCACCAATCATCCTTGTGTGAGTAAGATAGAGCCTTGGAGCTGCTGTGTGAGGGGTTGTGGTTGCTGCCTCTGTGTTTGTGGAGGGAGTACACCTTTGGCTTGGCATTTGTGGTGCCAAGGAGTCATCTTTTGGTGCAAGAACCAACCTTTGGTGTGGCATTTTCGTGCTCCTTGCAAGTCAGTATATTTGGAGCTGTTTGGTGAGCTCCAAGAGCCTTCCATTTCTGAGTTTGAAGCTTTGGTGAGTTGTCTAACCTTGATCTTGAGTTTTAATGATTTAAAGGTGGTGTCTTTGCATGTAAATGGGTTAAGCAAGTAACTAACATGTGTACGAACCTGTATAGACCTAAAAATGGAGTCTTGAACACTTTTATTTGGTAAAAGTTGGACCTTTGGTGGATATCTACGCGAAATGAAGAAACTGTATTCTGTCGTGAAATATCTGGATATTTGGTCGATAAATATCCGGATCCGGATATTGATATCCGGATATGGGGATCTGGATATCCGGATATTTCCAGTTAGATATCCGGATATGCCCCCGACATATATCCGGATATTTTGGGATTTCGAGGAACAGTAAGGTATTGTTCATACAGAACTGAGCTATGGGTTTGTGGACCCTATTTTGATGGAGTTAAACTTCTGTAAATACTTAATTAAGTCAGAATCAAGTGATTAAGGGCTTATGGCTTTGTGGGAAGCCTTAAAACATAAAACGTAAAAGGAAAACATAGTCTTTATGTTTATTCTTTGGAGCTATGAATGTTGATATGCTTGCTGGTCCTAAATCAGATTGTGATCTGCTGTGTTTGGACATTGAGCTTGTTTGGACTTGACTTGGATTGATTGCTTAAGAGGTAAGCTTTCGTGTCCTCGGTTTAGCCATGTTGTGGTTCCACCATGTCCCATGGGGGTATGGTTATATGCATGTTGTGTTACATGCTTTGGATATTTGAAATGCTATTGAGCTTTATGTGTAATGGCTTTTAATATGCATGTGTTGTTCCATCTTGACGGTAAGCCTGAGTATGTGGTGTCATACAAGACGGTGATCCGGGGTGGATGCAAGTAGCGTCTTGCACTATTTGTGGGTATTAGACGTATATAAATCCTGTATTTCTCTGGCCAGTAGAATAGTATTGACACACATGACATGATTATCTGCTGCATTGCACTATTTTAGAACTGATGATGATAAACTGCTTTTGAACTTATATTGCACATGTAAGTGAGCTTGGGGTGGAAGATCCTTGAGGACCCCTTGCCTTACTGAGATTTCTTGTTTAGAGATTTCACCCCACGTTTGGGGAATGCTTATTTCAGATTCAGGTAGTATGGGGACTGATGCCTCTGGCGACGGGAGGCCAGAGCTTAGTTGATGATATTGCTGTTAGTTATGCTGACCTGTATGAATGTTGGATTTGGATGGTGTTTATGTTTTCTACACTTATATGCTTATGTTGTTGTTGTTGAGACTGATGTTGGGCTTTTTTGCCTTATTTGGGTGAGCATGGGGTTTGTCCATGCCACTTTGTGGTTAGTACTTTTAGTTGAAGTTGTATAAACTGTTAGATGGTCCGGTCTACGTTTTGTAGTTCCGTGACTAGAGACTCATACTTATGTTATTTAATTAATGAGGTATTTTTGTTAGTTATTTAGTGCAATGTACATACAGGCGATGTTTTGAAAATGGTTAAGTAATCAAGTTGGTAATGATTAATGACATCATAATTGAAAAGAAAAAGATATTCCGCAATTTTAATTAAGCGCAGCTTAATACGATAACATGATAACATTACCAGATCTATACGAGGTGTTACAATAGGTCGAGAGCTTCCTATGGTCAATTTGGGGAAGTCCTTGTCTTTGATGTGACTTACAAAACAAACAAGTTCAAGTTTCCTTTTGCCCCTTTTGTTGGGGTTAATCACCATGGGCAATCAATATTAATTGCTGCTGCTTTGTTAGAGGATAAAACAGAGGCAACCTTTACTTGGTTGTTTGAACAGTTTTGGATATGCATGTTTGATAAGTCTCCTGTTGCAATTATTACAGATCAAGACAAAGCAATAGGGAAAGCAATTGCTAAGATATTTCCAGAAGCACGACATCGTTTTTGTGCATGGCACATCAAAAAGCATGTTTTGGAGCATAGTCAAGCATTACGTGCACAATTCAAAGATAGTTTTGATGTTGACTTTCGTGCATGGTATAAAAGTCGAAGCATAGATGAATTTGAAGACAAATGGGAAGCATTAAGAACTAAATATGATATTAAAGCAAGTAGTTGGTTGGCTAACATGTATGCTTCACATAACATTTGAGCAAAGGCATACTTGAAAGATACTTTTTTTGCTGGAATGATTACAAGTGGCCGAAGTGAGAGCATCAATGCATTTTTTGATGGATATGTCAACTCCAACACAATGTTAAATGACTTTGTTACCCAATGTGATAAAGAAATCAAGTCTAAAAGAGATGCAGAAAAAGATGAAGATTTTAAAACTAGAAATACAAAAGCAAATTTGGAGAGTAATCATCCAATTGAAGCAATAGCTGGAGAGCGCTACACAAGAAAACTGTTTGAAATTTTTAAAAAAGAGTGGATGGCTACCACACAAGATTAATTTCATGAAAAGATGTCAACAGACGAGCATAATATTAGGTACCGTGTGGGGTCTCCCAAAGTTAATAAAGAGTTGTGGGCAATTGTTGATTACAATTTGATAGAAAGTTCCACTACTCATTGTTTTTGTGCAAAGTTTGAGACTATGGGGATTTTATGCAAACATATTTTGACTAGATGGACCATGAATGCAAGCTATAAGGCTGAAAATCTTTTGTATGTTCATTCTGAAACAACTACCCGTGAAGTAAGTGAGTTGTCTTTGTTGTCAACTCAGTCGAAGTGCAATTTGGCTATTTCTGAAGCATAAGATTGTTTTCATGAAATTAGAAGATTTGATACTATGGTTGATGAATTTATTCAACAACAATTAGAAAGGAAGAGAAAAAGAACTGAAGAAGAAACCATAAGCTCAATTGTACCTTCACAAAGTGGTTTCATTCTTTCTCAAGTTTCACTTAATTATGTTCAAGACCCCACTCAAGCAGTCAAAACTAAGGGGCGTTCAAAAGTTGCTTCACGAATAAAATCTAGCATTGAGTTGGCAGCCAAACAACAAAAGAATTGCAGTTATTGTCGAGAGAAAGGTCATAATAAGACTAGTTGTAAGAAGCAAATGGTATTTCTCATATATTGTTCCTATTTATGCTTATGTATTTCCTCTCTGAACTTGATAAAAAAATGTAATTTTTCATTTGTAGATGGATGCTGCAAGAGAGAAGCAAAAGGGATAATAGTTTCATTTGAAAGTTGTACCTGATGACATTGTAGATTTTTCAATGAAGATGAAGCTTTGACATGGCTGAATTGTTTTGACATAAATGAATTATTTTGTGCATAAGTTGAGTTGTAGATGTTTTTTTTGAATGTAAGCAATTGCATTGTAAAGAAATCTTGATATAGTTTATTTATGGAAAGTTTCAAATTACTTTGATGTATGTACAGTTCCCAGTAGTTCTGTGAAGCAAACTGTTTTACGGAAAATCTGACAGCAAAACAGCAAACTTTGCATTTCGCTAAAAATCTAACAGCAATACAACAAACTTTCAATGCACATATATTGAGCTATATAACTCTGACTACTATGAATTATATATCATTTTAAATATTTAGATGTTTTCTATAACATAACAAAAATTAAGAATTTTATAGGTTGAAATGTATTCCGAGTTCTATTTGGAAGTTCAATGGTTTAGGATGAGTTCTTTACTATTGTCAAAGAGTAATACAAAATATAAATTTGATAAAACAAACACGTGATGAATATAACTCACATTGAATAATTTTGTACATGGATTTATATTACATTGACATTGATATCCTATAATGACTACTAAAATCCAAGTTACAACTCATACAAAATATCCTATAATGACTCTTCCTAGTCATAGTATTCCTTGAATATGGATGAACTATTTGCTGATTCGGATGAACTGTTCCTAGTCATAGTATTCTGAGATTTTTCTATCAAGCAAAATAACTTCTGTTGATATAGATGAACTGTTTGCTGATTCATATATCAAATTCATTGTGGAATTGATATCCAAAGATGTGTCTAAAGACAGTGTTAATTGGACAGTTCCAGCAGGAGAATGGAAAAGGTCAGTGGAGGAAAGGTTGTAATCTTCAGTCACCTTTCCTTTGCCAACAACTTGAGAAATTAGGACCAAAGCAAAGCCCAAAAGCTGGTCTTCCATGGGATTTCTAGCCCGACCAAACATCTGAATCTCACATTTCAGAACACCATCCATTCGGGTAATCTTCATCCTCAAGTTTTCATTGAATGTTAGGTTTTTGCCACCTCGATTAATAATTCTGGTAGAGAGAGTCTCATCGGGGTTGTAAGTAAGAGAGAATTTAGCATATACATCCTGATCATCATAGATGCATATGTTATGAATATTCCTAGCATGATGAACAAAGATATCAAGAATCCCCGAGAACTCAGCTTCATCATCTGCATTGTAGAGAAACAGAGTAACTATAGATATTTTGTTCACCAATGATCACGCATTGAGGCCATGTATCAAAAACACAGAACATAAAATATGTAAAGGAATAAACAGAACATCATCTAGGCTCCTGCTTTTGTTGTCCCAGTTCACCTTAGTGCATTTCCTCAATTTTGGCAAGGTTGTAAATTCCTATGTATCTTATTATCTTGAGCTGAAATGAATATAAACAAACAAATATACAACCATATGTAAGAACCCGCATCGTTAATTTATGAAATTAATTAAATAAATATGAGATTAAAGAAATAATTCCATAATTGACCCTAATAATTATGAGAAGACTTAAATAATTATAGTAAGAGATTAATAATATTGAAAGTCGTTTTTCTAACGAAAACTGCAGATACCGGTTCTGCTTCACGGTATAAGTGCGTACCGGTGAAGTATCCCGAAAAATTATAATAAGTGTATGAATATTCCTAGAAAAATATTTAAGTCAAGAATATCAATTTTGGAGTCGAAATGACGAGAATTGATGTCAGAACTAATACCGAATGGGTTAAAACGCGTACCAAAAAAGTGTTGCGAAAAATTAAAATAAAAATATGACAAATCTTAGAAAAATGGCTAGGTTCAGAATATGAAGTTTTAGGTTAAAATGATAAGCGTAGCTATTAATGCTAATACTGCGCGATTAAACTTAAGCACGACTATAAATACAAGGGCACACATTTCTAGGTCAGAATTTTCACACTTCCTACGTGGGTTTTCTGATCCTCTTGGCTGCCACCCTATCCACCTTACTCTATAGCCTTCTTCTTCATGAAGCTCAACCAAGGAACCATCTTTCTTCATTGACACAAACACCTTGTGTTCATCCATGGAGTAAAAGTAGTATCCCTTAGTACCTTTGGGATACCCCACAAATAGACATTTAGTACTCTTAGCACTAAGCTTGTCTGATGCCAACACTTTGACATAAGCTGGCGATCCCCATACCCTGAGGTAACTTAGGTTGGGTCTCTTACCATTCCATATCTCATATGGTGTGGTCTGAACAGATTTAGGCGGTACCCTATTTAGAAGGTATGCCGCTGTGTCTAAGGCATATCCCCAAAATGATTTTGGAAGTTGAGTCTCACTCATCATAGACCTGACCATGTCTAACAAGGTCATGTTTCTCCTTTCAGAGACACCATTTTGGTGTGGTGTGTAAGGTGCAGTAAACTGCGATAGATTCCATTTTCTTTCAGATTATCCTGAAACTCATGGCTCAGATATTCACCACCACGATCTGATCGTAATGTCTTAATCATCTTGCCACGCTGTTTCTCTACTTCATTCCTAAACTCCTTGAACTTTTCAAAGGCTTCGAATTTATATCTCATTAGGTACACGTACCCAAATCTTGATTTGTCATCAGTAAAGGTGATGAAATAGGAGTATCCTCCTCTAGCCTCTATAGACATTGGCCCACAAACATCACTGTGAATGAGTTCTAATAACTCACTAGCCCTATGACTCTCAAGCCCTTTGGGCTTGTGACAAGTCATTTTCCCAGCTAGACAAGATTCACATTGTCCATAGGATTCCAAATCCATGGAATCTAGGTATCTATTTGCATGCATCCTAGACAACCTTGTTTCGTTTATGTGCCCTAGTCTACAATGCCAAAGATAAGATTGATTATCTATCCTAGGTCGTTTTACGGCTATATTGAGCACTTCAGTTCTCATTTCCAGAACATACAATCCATTTATTAAAGAAGCAGTACCATAAACAATATCATTCGAAATGATAGAAAATGTATCATTCTTAACACTAAAAGTAAAACCATCTTGTTATAAACAAGAAATAGAAATAATGTTTCTAGAAATGTTTGGAACATAAAGACAATTATTCAAATGCAATAAAAGGCCCGTAGGCAAAATAAGGTCGGCATCTCCAATAGAATGAGCAGCAACCCTTGCTCCATTGCCAACGCGGAGGTCCACCTCGTTTCTCTCCAATCTCCTTGGGCTCCTAAGCACCTGCAACATATTGCAGATATGAGAACCACAACCGGTATCCAATACCCATGAGGTAGGATAAGCACAAGAATAATTTATCTCAATCATGAAAGTACCTGAGGTAGAAGCATCACCATGCTTCTTGTCCTTCACACTCTTCAGGTAGTCTGGACAATTCCTCTTCCAATGGCCTTTCTTGCCACAATGGAAGCACTCAGCATCGCTTTTGTCCTTGGATGCACTCTTACCCTTCTTTTTGCTTTCTTCTTCTTGGGTTTTCCTTTAGGTTTAAGGGAGTCTCCTTTCGCAGGCTCCTTGCCCTTACCCTTTGCCTTGCTAGGCCCACCAATCAGAAGAGCATGTGTCCTATCCTTCTTGATGGACACTTCAGCAGTTGTTAACATGCTTAACAATTCAGGCAAGCTCACAAGCATCCCATGCATGTTGTAATTCATAATGAATTGACTGAAGGAAGGTGGAAGCGAGGTCAAGACTAAGTCATTACTTAGCTCGACATCCATCACGAAGCCTAGGTTTCCTAGCTTCTCAATGAGCCCGATCATCTTAAGAACATGACTGCTCACAGACATGTTCTCAGACATCTTGCATGAGAACAATTCTCTAGAGGCCTCATACCTCCCATGCCTGCCTTTAATGTCATACAACTCCTTGAGATGTAAGACAATAGAGGGAGCATCCATATGCTCATGCTGCTTTTGCAGTTCAGGCGACATGGATGCCAACATGATGCAGACAGTCAACACATTGTCATCCATGTGCTGTTTGTGGGCCTCGAAATCATATTCCGCGAACCCATCTTCCCCTTCCCTTGGAGCTATGAGTAATGCAGCATCCAGGACATAAGCTATTTTTTCGACCCTAAGAACAATTCTTAAGTTCCGATACCAGTCCATAAAGTTTGAACCGGTCAGTTTGTTGTATCGAGTATTGAGCGCAGTGACAGTGGATTAGTCATACTAAAAACTGAAAAAGATGTAAAGATGATTTAATTAATATATTTAGACATGTTGTATAAACAAATTATTAAAGACTTTAAATAATTTTCCCCTCCCACTATTTTATCTAAGTCAATGACCCTTCCCATTTGACTTAGGGTTAATCTACTTTTAGATTTTACCTTAGTGAGATTAAGAGTGCGATTATCTATTTTAACCCCCGTCTGTGACCACAAGATTAATTTAAATAATGGGTTGATCCTCATCAACAGTATCTCATACCCTCTCTTAACATTAGGTTGACAACTCCTTGTCACTTAGTGGTGCATCTCATGCAACCAACCTAGCATTATCACCCTAAGCACATAAGCCCGGCTAAGCCTGCAACTTATGTCTCAGTTAAGTATTAACCAGCACCCTAAGTGTCTAACACTTCTAATACTACTCTTACTCAACGAAACAGTGGGTCCCAACTGAGTTGTGGAGCACCACTATGTAGAGGAGGTTCGAGTAATATTGGTGGTGGGAGGTAATCATATGCTTGGTAATTTATTCCTTTAAGGGTTCCTTTTATTTGGGGTTTATTAGGTCTCATCAAACGCATTTATATTATTATCATGCTAGTCATTATCCTATGTCAAACATCTATCGGATTACACTGGTCGTAATTGGACATGCATAATAATACATACAAACGCGATTTGTCCAATTCATGCATACTAGTTGTAACACCCCGTATATATCCAGTATTGTTATCATTACATCGTATTAAGCGGTGCTTAATTAAAAATGCGGAATATTCTTTTTATTTTCAATTATGACGTCATTATCAATTACCATCTTGATTACTTAATCAATTTCATAAAATATCGCTTGTATGTAAATTACAATAAGACATCTACTGAAATACCTCAATATATAATAAAGTGTGTATCTAAATCACGGCATTACATCTCGTAATCCGGACAATATCCTGATACATTATTACAACTCCCGAAAGACTCAAGACAAAACAATACTATGTGTCATGGACAATCCCCATGCTCACCAAAAAAACCAGCGTAAACAACAAGTCTGAACATAAAACTCCATAAACATAAACTTAAGCTATAAGCATATAAGCAGCATGCAAATCCAGCATCCAACATGTCAGCATAAATAGCAGCAAATCTAACTCAGGTCCGGCCTCCTGCCGCCTGAGGTCTCAACATTACCTGATCCTGAAATAAGCGTTTCCCAAACGTGGGGTGAGATCTCTAAACAAGAAATCTCAGTAAGACAAGGGGTCCTCAAGGATCTTCCACCCCAAGCTCACTTACATGTGCAATATAAGTTCTAAAATCATTTACATCATTATTAGTTCCAAAACTAAGTAGTGCAACAGATATCTATGACATGTGTGTAATCACTATTCTACTGGCTAGAGAAATGTAGGAATACGTCTATACCTACATGTAGTACAAGGAACACCGCTTGCGCCTCACCCACAGCCTCACCATATTGTATGTTCCACATACTCAGGCTTACCGTATAGGTGGAACACTTCCATGCATATCAACAAGGCACTAACATACAATAGCTCAACAGCATTTCCAAAACATCAAAAGCATGTAACACAACATGCATATACCATACCCCCATGGGACATGGTGGAACCAGAACATGGCTAAACCGAGGACACGAAAGCTTACCTTGCAAGCTCACTATCCAAAGCCAAGAGTCCTCACAGCTCAAGTCCAACACACAGCAGATCACAATCTGATTTAGGACCAGCAAGTGTATCAACATACATAACTCAAAAAGCATTAACAAAAAGACTACGTTCTCCTTTAACGATTTACATCTTAAGGCTTCCAACAAAGCCACAAGCCCTTAATCACATGATTCTGACTTAGTTCATTAATTACCGAAGTTCAACTTCATCAATCTAGGGTTCACAAACCCCCAATAGCCTACTGTACACACAACACAGCTACTGTTCTTCGAAATCCCAGAATATCCGGATATTCCTCAGGGACATATCCGGATATGCAATAT